CAGAAAATGGCTTTACAAAACGACGGGCTGCGGCGAAGATTTTTCCAAGCAAAGGATCTTTTGTCAATGTAAAGGAAAAACTGGAGAGTGTTTACTCAAAATTAAAAGATGGTAGCAGTTTTGAATTGCTAAGATCAAACCTTGCTCTAATCAATACTCTGGCAGGAGGATACTCAGTGGCTTTCCTAAGGGATGCTGTGGCCAGGCACCGGCCTATATCAGGTCACTCCAAATGGACCTGGACACGTCAGTGGTTGAAAGCGCTGAGCAGCCTGAGCAGTTACGTGTTTCGAACTGCAGCAACTAATAAGATCAGCTGAACTGTTCAACCAAAGCCCACATGCAAGAATGTCAATTGACTATCCTGTGGGGAAGTGGGGGCACTCCCTATAATGACCTATACGGGGCAGTCTCGTTTTCAAGCTTTAGGTATATAAAAGGGTAGGAATTTCACAAGTTGAAGTATATGACAGGGTAGGGAAATCTGTCCTAGGGTATTTGTATGATAAATAGTACTGTTTCAACTCAGATGTGATGTATAAGAACTATAAAAGGTTGGTTTACACACCCTCAGATTTGTTGGCAAGAATTTGTAAAGTAAACCTATCGAACGCAAAAAAAAAAATGGCGTCATTTGTTTTCCAAGAATTGGTGTTCGAGGACTAATCTACTGTGGTCAAGAGCCATTGTGGCTCTTGAATGTGATCGAAGATGTTTGCTATTTTGGGGGTGTACATATAAGGCTATCAACTCGATGTAAGATGTTTCACTCTAAAATAACTTACCCTTTCCCTCAAACGTCACATGAATGTGCCCTTAAGTTAACTGATTTGTGGATTACAATACAATACAAATTTTATTGTCAACTCCCCATGGGGGCTTTTCAGAGAGAAGTATTAATAGTACAGGTAATCAAAAAGAAAAAAAAAAGAAAAAAGAAAAAAAAAGTATCACAAGTTGATTATCAATAAGCTATTAAGAAACTATTTACATATAAATTTATGACATTAAAAATTGATTTAAAAGGAAGCCTTTCATTTTACGTTTAAAAATCATAAGAGATTCACTTAATTTAAAATGGGGTTTTAACGCATTCCACAATGTTACAGTTCTGTGATAAAAAGATCTCTGTCCCGACTTGGTTTTAAAAAGCGGTATATTAAGCTGGGAAGATGATCTGGTCGTCCGACCAATGATATTTCCTCTGGAGATAAAATTTGAACTGAGGTAGTTTGGTACCTGACCTGTCATAGATTTAAAGGCCATGATGGCGTCTCTTAGATACAGGTGGGACTTAACTGGTACCCATCTCAGGTCTTTCAGGGCTGGAAATACGTGATCAAACTTCCTTGTCCCAGAAATTATGCGAACAGCGAAATTCTGTACTCCTTGTAGTTTGCGTATATTGCAGGCAGAAGTGTTCGACCAGACGGACAATTAGTAAAGTTTACAAGTTTATTGTTTGATTTAAATTATAAATTTATTAATGGGAGCTTCGCTTTTAGCCCTGGCAAAATCTACATATAATTTTGCTCAGTCAGGAAATAACGGTATGTTGCTTACCACTTACCTCTTTTTCTCGGTTCCAGTTTCATGCTACCGACATTCCACCATTTTAGACCAGGGAGGCATTTCAGTGCACTGCGTGGGGTTTTACGACGCTTGAGATGGAAATTTCCTTCAACATGTTTGTGTGTATGCCCATTTGTTTTTCAGTCTTCGTAGAGTTTACTGCGAGAAAAGAGGTCAAAACATTCGGATTTTTGAGGCAAAAAGTAGAAAGATCAAGGCGATTCGAGCTGTGCTATAAACATCATTGCACCTTTTCTTTTCATCACTAGCACCGACAACTGTTGACAGCAATGTTAAACACCACGAGGAGACTGTTCCTGCTGCTGAAGATAAGCATGTACGTTTTATAATTACTGTAATGGAGAATTCAAGCACCTCTTCGCCAAGGGAAAGAACACCAAGAAAGACATTTGCCAAAATTCTAACAGCTTTTAAGTTGATCTAAAAAGTAACAGCGGATTAGTACATGCATAAGTGGTCCAAACTGGAGATAAAGGTAATAGAAGTAGATGAACACAATACGATGACCGGTAAGGACAGGAAATCATGGAAATTTCATCGTGAAATAACTGCTTGTGTGGGTTCCAGCCCCAAGAAAAACCCTGTAGTGACAATTGACCCATCTTCAATTGGGGCAACTGCATCTGGCTCAAGCAGCCACTCCTCTTGTGGTAAAACTGACTCCACAGTTTGTGATGGATCAGATGTTGAATCCTCTGAAGAGGCAGCTTGGCCTAAAACTAAGAAAGGTAACTTTCCAACAAGGACTTGGAAAAGTAATACTTCAGTCGCTGAAATGTTGAGCTGTCTGGGGAGCTAGACCAAACGCCGAGAGAAAGTAGATGCTGAAAAGCTGGAGCTACTTAAATCAATGAAAGATGAGAAAAAGGAATTTTTCCTTAAATTTTTAGACATAATGGCTGTGTTTTCACTAGGACAATTTTAGCTAGAAAAAGTCAGGAAAGTCCGGAAATACAGTGAAAACACTTTGTCTAGTGTTAAGCAAGTTGACAATGCCAACTGTTTTCACAAGCAAAAACAACGGGTTTCTCACGCAGAGTTATACTACCTCCCAAGCTGGTTTAACTTGTCCTGACAAATACCGCAGCCAATCGCACAGCGTGTAGTAACAGATGCCCGCCAAAACAATCTGGCAAAATTATTTTCCAGACGCTCGCCTCGTGGTTCTTTCAAAACAAAACTTTGTATGCTTGTAAACATGGCTGACAAATTGCAAAACACTTCCCAATTCTTTCGCTGTTTTACAATTCCTCCGGACCCGTTGGATGTTCAGATCCCTTGTCCAGGGCCTTACCTGTTTCACAGCGTCTACATGCAGAATCAATTCCTGCATTACGGGCCAGCAGTTCTTTCATACCAAGTTCCTATGCCACATGCATCACCCTCGACAAGCTCGTAAGCGAAAACACAACGAACCAAGAAAATCCACAGCCAGGAGCTACGAACAGGAACCGTGGCTCTAACTGGACAGATGCAGAGACAAGCTATTTACTTGAATTGTGGAGAGACAATTTCCCAATCAGCAAGAAAAGAAACAGCACTGTGTAGGACACCACTGCAAAGAAGCTCAATTCCATTTTTAAAGACCAGGGAATACCAAGCTACTGCACTGGTACGCAGTGTAAGGCACGTATTAAGTAATGCTTCACCTACGACGGAAAGCACGAATGGCTCAAGAATGCAAGGAATGCGATTAGGTGATCAACATTAAGTTTACTTATTTAATTAACATCCGAATTTCTGATTGGTCAAGTGCATCTTTGTAACTATTTTTCTACAAAAATGAGCAATTTCAGGTCCGAAGACTCCTTAAAGGGAACGAATTGGTTCTGATCTATTGTTATGACCAACTTCAGTGAATTCGTATGTGGCCGTAGAAAGTTACGGAGATTTTGTCCTCGCGTCTCAAATTTCACCATGTGGTACCCATCTTGAAAACGCTGATCTGGATTCTCTCCTTGTGCACCGATTTGAGTTTTCGCTATAACTGTAGAATAGATTTGAATATTTTGTATATATTTGTGTAAATAAGTTGTAAGTAAGTGTAAATGTCGGCGGTGGTGGCCTCTGGATCCACCTAAAATGCTGTTTGAGTCTTCGTGTTGTTGTCCTCTCCATCGTGAGTGGAAGCATGGTGAAGTGAGAAGCGAGCAGTTGCGCCAGTGCAACCGTGAAGAGAACAGATGGTTAGAAGAGTGTTTCGGTTCGAAATACAGGAAGACGAGAAAAAGAAAAATTTGTGCATCATGTAGATCTAGGCTGGAAGTCGAACTCAAGTGTCGAAAACTCGAGGTAGGTCAATAACCTTGTTGTAATCTTTCTTTTCTGATCATAATTTCAGTTTAGTTGTTTTCGCAAGTCGTTTCCTCAGTCTTTTGTTTTTTGATCAGCTTTAGTGCATCATGACAGAAACTGTAACCAGAAAACTTATTTCTCTTGCGTTATAGTGAGTTGTAATTATATAGGAAGGTATACACAATTATTTATGACAACATAGTTTTGTTTCCCTTTCAGCAATAATAAATTGTTTTCCACCATTTGTAAACAGTTGGTTCTGTGCTTATTTGGACTGCATTCTTGAAAAAAGAAACTTGTTCGAATGAGATTGGATGATCCTCTGTTAACTGAAATGATATTTTTTTTAGTTGTAGCCCTTGCATTTTTGAAGGCAATATGGTTTTAACACTGATAGTTTCTCCTTTTTGCTATATGCAGGAGATTGTTTCACAGCAGCATGAAAACAAAGATACAAGTACCACTAATGTCATTGATGATGTCAGAGCTGAAGGACCCAACAATTGTGAAGTGGTTGATCCAATGGGCCAGTTTGATGACGATTTTGTTCTTGCTGATGGAAACACTGTCACCTCAATTCAGCAAGAAGAGGAAAGTAATTTTGTAAGGACCCTGGTTGACAGAGGAACACAAAAGCCCATGATGCCAATGATGCCATACAAGAATCAATGTGACAGGAGGAAAAGAGAAATGAGAGCCGATATCATCGAAACTGTGAAAGGCACAGCAATGAAATATGTCTTGAATGTGCCTGGTGACCTGAGTGACTTTTTGAAAGAGACCGTAAACAGCAAAAAAAAGCACTCTACGTTTGGTTTCTGTGGAGGGTTCAGTGATGAAAGTACATCTCTGAACCCAACTTTGGTGTCATTGGTCAATGAATATCAAGAGTCTGCGGTCAAAGAAAAAAACCAAGAAAAAAGGAACAGAATGGCCAAATTGAAAGGCAAAATTGCTATTGGCAATTCCTTGAAAGACTCCAAAATAACACCGACTGGGGAGAAAACACCGGAACACTTTAAAAGCAGAACTGAAGCAGCCAGCTCTGTTGGGAGGCTGACTTCCCAAGCAGATGAAAGAAGACGCCTGCTTTCTATTGCTGCTATGGACTATCCATATTGCTTTTTACAGGAGGTGTTTGGCTGTTCATCGAAAGAAGTTACTGCGGCAAAAGTTCACTCTATTCTGTTTGGCCATGGTGGAACCCCACCATCAAAATTTAAATTTAAGCGACAATGGGTAAGTCCTGAAGTGCTTAAAGAACTTTCAGAATTTTTTGAGAGACCGTGTGTCCAGGCCATCATCTTGTCAGAGTGTGGTCATGGACGGTGAGGAAATGCCTGTTCGATACTGGAAGGACAATGTCTAGGAACTTGTGAACTAGTATTTACTGGAATTCCCCAATGTGTAAAACGCACTTACATCTATACGCTCTCCCTGCAAATTTTCGTTACAACACTATGTTGGCAGGCCTGTGCAACATATTTGATGAGTGTGGACACTCAAATTTTGAGAAATTGTTCAGCCTCCTAACTGAAGTGGAATCAGCAACTTCAGTGTCAATGAAGCAAATGAAAGCTAGAGTAGGAGATTATCAACGTTTCTGTAAGACAATTATCCAGACAAGTAGAGAGGCACTCACCTTGTGCAGAACTGTGCATGAACTATGCATTTGGTTCCTGTGAAGAACCCCATGACAGTTCCTGTGCAGATGCCACTGCTCTGTATGAGGTTCAGAGAACTGTCAGCAATGTATTATCTACACTTTCCAGTGCAAATATTCAGATAAACTGACCACCGAACTGCAAGAAATCATGAAAACTCATGAACAGTATGTGAGACACTTGTTACGTACGAAGCACCAGGCAGATTACCACAAGTTTGTGCTTGACAACCTACAGCCCGGGGAGGCAGTAATAATTGTGGACTATAGGAGGAAACTTGAGCTAGGTGTTCGCAGCCGTGAAGCCCAGCGAGATTGGTATGGAAAACGAGGGATTTCCTTGCATGGACTTCTTGTCATAGCTCAGATTAGTGAAGATAAGAAAGTCACTGAAGTGATCGATCTTTGGTCAGAAGACACAAAACAAGATGCATGGTTTAGTCAAAGTGCTATGGATGTCGGATTTCAGTGGATGGAGAAGGAACTGCCTGGCTTTAGAGTCTATTTATTTTCTGGTGAGCACACTTGTTTATTTGTTGAATTTTCAGGGCCATTTAAGGTAGTTCAATTGGCTACAAATGTTTTTGACATGAAAAATACACTGTATAAAAAGAGTGAACAATGGCTGGGAGTACGTTGTATTGCAAAAAGCAAACAATTCTTTCTCTGCTAACAAGTCATATTCAGTTATAACAAGAAACTACTGTACCATGGATCAATTAAATCATTTGATTCTAGTTTTGATGCAATGCTAGATCGAATGAATAATTGTGCTTCATTTCTCTGTGAATTAAAAAGCATTTTTCATATACTTAGTAACTGTCATTCTTATTAGGAATTACTATTTTTGTCATTTTGCAACATTTTATTTCCGGCAATGAAAACCCATTACACTAAATTGCATTATTGTATGCATAGTTCACGGCCGCCCTAATGCCTACTGTATTCAGGGTTATTTGGAAAAGGAACGTGCTCTCACATGAACCCATTTTTTAAATTCCATGTTAGACAATGGCCCTCACTATCATAATACTGCCTTCATACTCTACCTTGCGGAAGTAAATCAGGCCTTCAACTTGACTCTTGTGGAGTATAACAATTTTGAGGCAGGGTAAGGCAAATCAAAGCTTGACACCCATTTCGCTCATATCAGCCACAAGATTGTTCGCTGGGTCAGAGTAGGCAACAATCTGGAATAGGGAAATCAACTTGGAGAGTTGATTGGGGTATCTTTAGTGTTGACATTATAATTTTAATTGAGTGTGTTGATGTGAGCAAGTATTGTTTTTTTTTCTGTATTCAGACCCATTCCCACCAGGTGAAATGCAACATTGTACAGTTGTGTCTCGACCACTAATGTTCTACTTTAAACATGATTGACAATAATAATGTGTTACACTCAGGCCATTGAAGTTTAGGGAATAGTTTCCAAATTTCCTCCTTTTTTATCTTGAAAGTATTGGGTTTTTGTGGATGCTACAAGATTATCCAGTGGTTAAACCTCTATACGTGTTGTGATTGAAGTGATGATTGCTTTGTGAATCCGACTTTCTACTTTTTTACTTAAACATTAATTAACAAAATAAAAAAAATACTACAAAATACTAATACTACAGGCAAAAAGGACTATTCTGTTGAGATGATAATGACAACCTTCATGGTATTTAAAATAATGTGTTCCGGTGAATAGAGTTCCATTCATGCTTGATTCCTGTTTATTTACTATGTCTTAGAATTTCTGGTTGGCAGGAAATTGACAGTTAAAAATTTCCCTGTAATAATAACAATCATTATTACTTTTTTTTTGTTTTCTTAGGCCATGAAGAATGTCACCTGCCGTAAACTGTTGATTGATAGGCAGAAGGCACCAGAGAACTTAGGCACCCTCAAGGATATTACTCTGTATGGCAGTTTTGAATTTCAACACTGTGGAGGTAAGAACAATAACAATAACAAGCAAATTTCCATTAAAAAAACAAATAATTTGGAACAACCGTACCGTATGTATTGATGGAAAACTGATTTATATTAAATCCTGGTGAACAAGTGGAATTCGTTGCATCGAAGACCTTTTAAATGTTAACCTCAAATTTCTTACCTTATCAGAAATGGAAGTGAAATATAACTTTGAATTTCCTTTTACCACTTATTACGGCCCTTTAAGAGCCATACCAACTGAATGGAAAAGTGCACTATGAGTCAAAGCAGGTGTGCTTGATAAATCTGAAAAGTGCGAAACATCCTTGAAGCTTTTTTCCACAAAAGAATCCTATTCTTCCATACTTGACAAAAGCTTCTCAGCACCCACTGCTGAAGGCAGAATTCTAGTTCATGGGCTCGCCAAAGAGGAAATTCCTTACATCTACATGCTCCCGTTCAAAATCTTGAAAGAACCAAAACTGATCATGTTCCAAGTCAAAATTGTTCACAATATTTTACCTACCCAATCTGGCCTCTTCCGCATGCGCATAACTGATACTGATGTTTGTCCTTTTTGCAGCCTTGAAAGTCAATCTCTAAAACATATGTTAATTACTTGTAGTGTATCCTGTTCGTTTTGGACTTGTTTTTCTAACTGGTGGCACGAAAAAATTAATCAAAAACTGACTTTATCTGAAAGCAGTATTCTATATGGTTGGCACAAAGAGTCAAATAACTGGGAAGTGCTTTTATCAAACAATGTTTTTGCTACAAGCGTACGCAACAGCGTCCTGGACTTTGACAGTTTTCTACTTGGTCTCAACAACAAAATTGATATTCCTCGCACCACAGCTTTTAGATCTAACTGCTTATCGCAATTCAAAAAAACATGGGACAAATGTGAATGCTAGTGTCATTTCCACAATACTTATTCCTTCAAGCTACACTTTACTGCTGTACTGTTTCACTTATTAGGTTTGCATCTTTTTCTTTTTAATTTAGTTTTTTTTCCTTTACAAATTTAGTTTTTTTTCTATATATATATATGTATATTATTTCTCATAGTTAAAAGAACAAGTATTTGTAATTCATTTTTTTTGTCAATAAATATTGAAAAAAACATTAACAGTAATAATAATAACAATAATAATAGTAATAATAATAATAATAATCTGATCGTGATCATCATAACAATGAAGATCATTATCCTATTTTATTTGCTACTATTTCTATTTTTTTTCCATCTGGTAGCACTTCATCAACAATTTAATAAAGAAAGAAAATAGGTGATGGTATTAACCATTATTTTATATTTGTTTACCGTATCAGGTCTTACTGCAAGATCCCTGGCAGGCCTTGGGAAACAAATGAGTAAGAGCAAGCAGCAGCTCCAAGTTATTGCAAATAGAACTAGCCCTATTGCTGGAGCAACAGGTGCCACTACAACAGATGACATCCCCTTTTCAATCAACAGTAATGTCCAGTGTCACAATGAAGGGACATACAGTGTTAAATTTGTCCAACACGCAGCAGTCCAGGAACAATTGTCATCCAATTTTGTGACTCCTGTAGATGCCATGCTAATTCAAAGCCTTCCAAGACAAGGCTTTGCCTTGAAAACTGGCGGAGGGAGGCGAACTCTCTTTACTTTGGCACAAAAGGAAATCATGATTGAGTTCTATAACCGGCAGACCAATCATGGTATACGCGCAGATCCCACCGAATGCATAATAGCTATGAGAGAGAGAGGTATTGAAGCTTTGAAAGAAAGCCAGATAAAAAGTTGGTGGAGTACCTACCATCAGAAAAGGAAAAGGGAGATGGAAAGAATGGAAGCTGATGTGCAAAATGCTGTTAGGAATGTCACTGGTAATGTTCCAGCAACTTCAACCCCTCCTGCTGGTACACGTACCCTGTCTGTTTCTGCTTCATCAGTATCAAATACAACCTCTGCAATAGCCACTTCTGTCCCTTTCACCAGGTTTCACCACTGTACAAGCATCTCCTAGAATTACAGTGGCCTCTACTCCTACATCTGTCCTCCCAACTTCTACATTATCATCGACATCGGTCACATCAAGCTCTACCTCATCATCGCTGGCGTCTTCATTATCCCATTAACATGGTGGCTCTGAAAGAGGATCGCTGAAGTGTCTCTATCGTCAGAGGCCTGTTATTGACTGTAGATTCTGCTTCGCAAAGGAATGTTCTCAGCGATTCTTCGTCAAGACGATTACCATGCTCTCTAATAAGACCAGTCCTGACATTTCTGATTGACCTGATTTGCCTTTCCCACACGCCGCCAAAGTTACTCATGGATGCAGGATTCTTAATCCAATCGATCTTGGCTTTAAGGAGTTCTGCTTTGACCTTATGGTCGTCCATCTCGTCAATAGCTTTCTTGAGTTCGGCTTCCGCACCAATAAAATTCGATCCTCTGTCACGAATTTCTCTGACTGGTCCTCTTCTACAGATGAACCATCTGAATGCTTGAATAAAGGAATCAGTTTCTAAGGAGTCCGCAGCTTCTATGTGTACAGTCCTTCTTGCAAAACAAGTAAACAATGCTCCGTATTTCTTGACGACAGACCTTCCTCGTTGTACGTGCCAAGGGCCAAAGAAATCGACTCCGCAGTAGCTGAAAGGCGGTGCTGGCTCCACGCACAACTTTGGCAAGTCAGCCATCTTCTGCTCTCCCACGGTACCTCGAAGGTAATGACATATTACGCATTTGGAAACTGCCTGACCATCGAATTTCCACCGACAATCTAATAGCCACTAGCACGAAGCTCATTCAACGTAATTCCTCTTCCGTTATGGTTTTCCTCTCTGGTTTTCTTCAGCACAGCCTTCTTCTCCTTTTCTCCTTCCTGGCTACCATACTTAGCGTTCGCTTGAATGATTTGGAGACTTCTTATTTCCGATGGAAATGCTTGTCTTTGTACTTGTTTTATGATCTCCACTTCTGCTTCCTGTAAGTTGGCAACGTTAAGTTCTCCACTTGCAGGGGTGTTACTGACACACCTTTGTTCTGGTGATCCAGCACTTGACTCCTTCCCTTTAGACATGTCCTTTTCTCTGAGCTTCCTCTTGTACTTTAGGCATAGTGCGACGGCTTAAAGCTTCTTGGTATTTTCAAACTTTCAAGTAGGTACAGCTCATTTTGCCATCTTTCCCATCTGCTGCGGGTGGCACCGTTGACTGTCTCATCCCAGCTATTAGCGTGACAGATGTCCTGCAAAATTTTCTTTCCGACCATTACTGCAGGAGCGATGAAACCCAAGGGATCATAAATTGAGCTGATGGTCAATAGGATGCCTCTCAGCGTGGAAGGCTTATCCTTAAGTTCAATCCTGAAGTTGAACGTGTCTGACTCAATACACCAAATAACTCCTAACGCTCTTTCTATGGGTAACTTGTCCTGGCCAAGTGTGAGGTTATTCACCTGTTCTGCTCTGTGTTCTTGAGGGATTGGGCTGATGATATGCTCTGTGTTCCCCACAAACTTGGTTAAGTTAAATCCACCATTTTGGCAAACTGCTTTGGTATCCTTTGCTAGCTTAATAGTCCCATCTTCTGTGCTTGCCGATTTGAGAGCGGCGTCCACATAAAAGTTCCTTCTAAGGGTGTTGGCTGCTTCTGACCCATATTCATCTTCGTTGTCGTCAGCAGTGCATTTAAGTACATAATTAGCGCATGCAGGGGATGATATTACACCGAACAAATGGACAGTCATGCAATACTCTTTGGCCTCCTTCTGTAAATCTCCGTTTGGCCACCATACAAACCTGAAAAGATTTTTATCTTCCTTCCTTACTCTTACTTGAAAGAACATTTTTTCAATGTCTGCCATAAAATCATACTTTTCTTGCCGGAACCTGGTAAGAACACCGACTAAGTTACTGCTGAGATCTGGTCCCTGGAGCAATTTGTCATTCAACGAGTGTCCTTCGAATGAGGCCGAGCAATCAAACACCACGCGTATTTTCGTTGGCTTTTGTGGGTGATAAATTCCGTGATGCGGCAGGTACCAGGTTCTGCCCAATTGATCTTTAAGATCGTCATCCACCCTCCGAGCACACCCTTTCGAAATGATATCAGACATAAAGCTGCAGTAATCCGTGTAATACTTGTCTTCAGACATTAGACATTTCTTGAGGCTGTTCAGGCGCTTCTCAGCTTCAGCATAGTTGTTTGGGAGCTGAATGTTCTTATGTTTGAAAGGGAGCGGCATTTCATAGTGCAAGTCCTCAAGATGAACGATACCAGTTTCCACAGTCTCGTAGAACTTGATGTCTTCGCGCGAAATTGATATTCCCTTTTCCTATTCGGAGAAGTCAAGTTCAAACATTCATTCAACTGCCTGCAGTGTTATCTGTTCCGTTACCGTCCTTTGAGAGACTACATATCCTCACGGGGATAAGGTATCTTGCTGATTAAGATGAATTCTGCTTCACGTTAAGATGCTACTCTGATAGGGAGTATAGAGAGGACCGTTTATGTACCATCCGAGCAGTGACCGTACAGCATATGGATCTGATTCTCCACCGTAAACAATTTTTCTTGGTCGTAGGGCACTTGGACAGTTCAATCCAATAAGAAGACCCACTTCAACATCTTCCATGTAGGGGGAAAGTGCGGCACTAACATCCTTCAAATGAGACATCCTACTGATTACATCAGGTCGTGGTATTTCACTGCGGTCTGCTGGAATGATGTTTCGCGTGAAAGTTCTGGGCACCTATAACCTTGCACTCTCGTCCTTCACATTAGCTAAAACTAATCCTTCAATGGCCTTTGTTATAAACTAAATCCGCGTTGCCGATAGCAATGCGTCCCTTGGATTCCCTAGGGGTATTCTGCATTCATGCGCTATGATTTAAAAATTCAGTTTGAGCTAGCAGTGGAAGTGAACAGAATAATTCAGATTTAGAAACGAAGACTCGGAGATTCACGCTAGTGTAAGTAGGTTTTTTCTAAGAGTTTTTTAATCCTTTCAGCCAATATCTTATCAGGATATTTGGGTTTTTCCTTTTTTCAGCGGATCGTTTTGTAAATCACGCTATTGTATCCTCAAAATGTAGAAGTGAAAGAGGCGAGCCGATTTCGACGCGTGAATGCTAATTAACTTGAACTGTAGAATACTGAGACACTGAGAATTAAATAACGAATCTTGAAGAACAGCGAAAAGACGACAACAGCCTTCGACGTTACGCTGTGTGTTCCATGGATTGTAGTAAGAGTGAGGTCAGTGCTACTTCCTTCAACGCCAAGAGCCTTAGCTGCGCTTTCATTCACAAATGTTCCACCGCTGGCATTGTCCAGTAAAGCATAAGCTCGTATTTTCTTCGCTGGATTACTCTTATGAAACAACCAGACTAGCAATATCCCCATGTTAATCGGCACATCTCCAGATTCAGTTATGTTGCAGATGGCAGTGTAATTGCAACTAACTCGTGGTCTATCTCGAGGTTGGTTCTTGTCACCTTTGTCGCTCGATTTCTTAATTCCATCAGGGTTGTGTAGTGACATTGGATGCTGCTTGTTGCACGTCTTGCACGTTTGCCTTTCCTTGCAATGCTTTGCAATGTGCTGGTCACTAAAGCAGCCGAAGCACAGTTCTTCTCTACTACAAAGTCTCGATGGTCACTCAGAGATTTCTTAAAAAACTGTTCACACTCGTTTAAGTTATGAGGCTTCTTGCATAAAGAGCATACAACAGTCTGTTGATTGCTATCTTCCTGATTTACACCAGAAGCAAGGTTTGTCCCTTTTCCCCTTTTTAGCGCTTTCTTGTAAACTTAAGACGAATGCCTCTATCTTTTTCATCATGATTTGGCTTGCTAACACATTGCTCTGAAAAGACAGGATCTGTGGCAAGATCAGCTTGTTCACGCACGAATTGAGAGAACTCTTCGAAGTTAGCTATTCTTCCCTTTGCACTTTTTGTCCTATTGTTCCTTTCAGTCCATTTGGTTCGCAGGTACTAGGGTAACTTTTCCCACAGTTGACGCAGTACATGAGCAGTGTTTAAATCATCCATATGAGACATGACTTTCATAGCAGACTTAGCTTGATCCAGGGCAATAGAGAAATTTTGGAGGGCTAAACCATCATTTGGTCTGATTGGTGGCCAAGAAGACAATTTCGTGATGTGGGCATTAGCTATCTTGAATGGATCACCGAATTGTCTCTTTAAAAGTATCTTAGCTTCTTCATAGGATCCTTCCATTTTCCTTTGTAGACATCCGTTTATAATTTCTTTTGTTTTACCTGACCTGTATTGACCCAGAAAATATAATCTCTCATGGGAATCTTCAACCTTTGATTCGATTAATGACTCAAAGGCAGTCATGAATAATGGATACTCCATGGCATCACCATAAAACATAGGAGGCTCGTTTGATGGCAAAAGATTCCTTGCCTGCTGGTTAACAATAGTCTGAGACAACTCAGTTTGTGTTCGTTGAATTTCCACAATATCTTGGAAAGTATTGTCTTTGACTGACAAACTTGTTGAACAACCTTGTGGTGGTGATGGTGGCAGACACCATACCTGATCAGGAGCAGCATACGTAACAGCAGGAGTTGTTGCTAAAGATGGGCATGATGAAGAATGTTCACTCGAGGGGTGTTCATGGGGTTTTGCTGCATAGGCCGTAGTCTCTTCCTTACGCCATGATGCACCAATATTTATCGGTGTTGTGTAAATGGGTCCTTTCTGAGGTACCGTAAATGCACTAAGAGGACTAGCTTGTAAAGGCTGTTGATAATCTGGAAAGCCTACAGAACTTACAAGTTGTTGCTGCGAAGTTGGTTCCAAACCAGCAGAGCTACCTGATTGTATTGTACAAATCGGAGGACTTTGTGTATGAACAGGTGCAAAGGTTGACTCTTCATTCTTCATTTCTTCGTAAATCCTTTCTTCTTCCCTTGCTTGAGCTAAACTCTGTTTTAGCTCTAAATGGTCAGCTGCAATTTTAAGTGCTTGCTTTCCTTCAGAAATGATGCTTCAATTTCCAATGCTGAGACCTTAGTTTTTGCTTCTATCAACTTAGCTTTAGATGAAATTGAAGATGAGGTGGACCGTTTGAGTGATTTGACTTTCTTGTGCGATGAGACTCACTAGAGATAACAGAGTTTACTTCATTTGACTGATACCTTTTCGCCTTGGACAAATATTCAATGACAGACTGTTTACATTTAAAGACATCTCCATCGTGAGCATCGTACCATGAATTGGCATTAACAATAACAGTTTCATCTTCTAACACGTCAACATAATTATCCTGAGCATCTTGCAGTTTCACAAGCAAATTATTAAGACCTTCCATTTCAACTGACACAAATTCATAATTGTTAAGATCAGCAAGTAGCGGTTTCATTTTGTTTATCTGTCTAGTTACGTGACGTAACGCCACAGTTCTATGATCCTTTAACCTTTGTAACTCGTGTTGTTTACCTTTATCCGTTGGAATTTTTCTCCTTTCGCCCACTCCTAGCGCTTCAGCATCAGTGACCGTCAATTTTGCTTCCATATTCAGTGAACCTTGAACCTTTACTTAATTAGGAAGTTCCGTTTCTGATGCTGCATCCCTTGGCTGAGTGTGAAGCGGCGATATAACACGAAACAGTTCCGTATCCATTGTTGGGGAGTGCGAATGCGAAACTTGCAATCTCAGCAAATTGTCATCCTCAAAATAAGCCGCAAATTCCTTGCCTTCACCTTCCATGACCGTAAATATCCCTGAAAACCGTAAGACCAGCTGAAAACCATAGACAAATAGAAGCACCGTAATTATCCTTGTAAACGAAGCCATCAACAATCCATAAGGTCCATGAGGTTGTGAAATAACTGTAGTGGCGAATGGCGGCACATGACAGCCGTGACGATGAAAACAACAACAAAACGTTTAATCATATATGAGGCTGAATCAACTCACAAGTATCATGACAAATATCCGTTAGAAATCCATAGCACGAGAAAGAAAAACTGAAACAAACGACTTAGAAAACACTTGGGAAACTTGAAGAAAACCTTAGTGAAACTTCAGGTTATTTCACGGTGGCCTGGTGCTCGCCAATCCCGAGGCCGCATGCGCATGCTCCTAATAAACAAGGGGGTAAGCACGCTGGTCAGGATACCAGCAGTTACACTACCTGACGAAAATGGCGATACGCATTCCAGTGTAATTTGTCATTGAACTGTTTTGAAGTACATGATTTCTCTATAATTTCTATGCTGTTTTTTGCTGACTGAGTGAAACCCCATATTAAAGCGGTTAACTCTATTTGTAACTGTGCGAAATTGACTAAAAATCAAAATTCATAGTCTTACTGCAATACTGTTTCCCACTTTTGTAGGTGAAAGTGAATTTAATACAGGAACTTTTTTCTTTCTGCACTGATGCGTCAATGATCCCACCAATGGGGTTAAACAATCCTGCCGTGATAACAGTGACGTCGACATGCAGCATTTTAACAAATGCTAACACGTGCCCAATGGAGTTAGAGCGTTCATCTGAAGTAAAATCCTACGAACACTTTTGTAATGAGATGGATTTGGCAATAACATCCCAGGCAACTGGATATGGAGTAGCATAAACAGAGTGTGATAACAAACGGCACTTCAGTGTGCCCTGAAAGAAGTGATTGTGTTACGGGATCGGTTTTAATGATATTGTGTAACGTTTTGGTAAAGAAAATGCCCGCTTGTTGATGATAAGGACAAATTGGAATGGCAGTGCTAAACTTATCCTTTCTGTTTTGAATGTGGTTTAGTAATATTGCATACATGTTGATTTTTACAAAAAGGGATAACATGTTGTGTCTGATGCTACGCTTCTCAATTTGAACTTGCCTCGTCTAGGTGACAAAATATTTCTCGGACAACCTCCAAACCTGAACCCCGCAATCTTAACATCCCATTGACATATTGCTGAAGAGGAGAAAGACTTCCTGCTCTTCTCATCAGGTGACTGTTCAAGCCTTCTTTCCATATTCCAATGTGTTGGTTTATGCAAGGCAAAAAGATGATGTGAAGCGCAAGTATGTCAAGCTCATTCAGTGGATCAAGAGCACCTTGTTCCTTAGCCTGTTCCAGGCGTTCAGATAGTGGGGAGCGGTGCAAAGTAAAAGGGAGCGCAAAAAAGTAAAAGCGAGGGAGGAGGAGAGGTGAGAGAGGGAACGCCTGTTAGATTTGTTTTAAATAGACTCTTCCGCCCAGTCAGACCGCATCAGCTGTAGGTGGTCTTCACTTGTCAATCAAGACTGGTGTTACAGCCCGATGCATTTATTATTTTTCTTGCGAATAAATCGAAGTTTGTCAGATCAAAAATTAATATTATGTATACATAATCTTACTAAAAACCCAATGTAAGACTTTCAGACAATAGAAGGCGGGAGAAGTATTCATGTATAATGAATCTATTTACGGCTTTAAAAACATGATTTCAGTGTGTACGTGACAAAAAATTATGAATCAAGTCACAAACAAATATCGCTCATTTCGATAGAAAGCCGTTTCAATACAGATCGTTAACTCAAGCCATGAAAATGCACAACAATTGAAGGGAAAATTTACTATTCGGTGATTGAGTGGACCTCATCAATAGCGATAGCGGCAACTTGCTTTCCAAGCTTTTCTTTTTGAAGTCCTTTTGTCCATTCATTAAACAACCACGATTTGGCACTTCAGTAAACAATTTCACAGCTTCCACTTTTAACGGCTTCATCCATATCTTCTCCCATCATTGCCGCCGCTACTCCGATCTGACTTGTTCAAATATTCCACTTGGTCCATGATGGTAATCAACGGAGTTACCACAACAATCGTAAATGGCATTCTATCCTGCCTTCATTCCAACGCACGCTTTATTCGAGGAAAAAACTGGAAAATAAGAATTTTTCCAAAGCCAGTCGGTGAGAAATTGCTAAGACATCTATCCTACCGACTACGTGTTTTAAACAGTTTCTTTGCTCTTCGCTTTTAGCCTCCACGTTTGGAAAGTCACTCAGCGCTGTGTTTGTTGCGAGTTTGAATTCTGCGTGACGGCACGTAGAGTCTGTCATAACGGCCATATCGTATTTCTCGCTGTGATCGAAGACGCTCCACTGTTGACAAAAACTGTCAAAATCAACCAATCAGAGGGTATACCAGGATCTGGTATACCGGAACGCACTTTTGTTAAGAATTCTTACAAGCGTTCCCGCACCTCTCTCCCCAGTCCCCCTCTACTTTTCATCGCTTCTCTACTCCACACCGCTCTCCACTATCTGAACGCTTGGAACAGGCTACTTGTTCCTCAAGATGGTGAAATATTGATAGCGGAGCTCTGGCGCGCGAAGCGTGCCTGCGGGGCACCATGGGTAAGTAAATCTACCCATCCCAGAAAATTTGGTAATCACGTGACCGTACAGGCTACCCGTTGTTCCTCAAGATGGTTTGGGAAATATTTGATATCAATGTTGTCATCAAGAGACAGCTATCAAAACAGGGTATCCGTGACCAGTATCACCTGACCGGCACCATGGGTAAGTAAATCTAAACTTACCTCAGACGCAAATATTCAGCCAGTTTTTTTTTAAAAATTCGTAAAATATGTTGTGTTTATGTCAGGGAAGACCTTTTGATTTCAAACCATGGTATTCAGCCAGTTTTTTTAAAATACAGGCGGGGAAGACCTTTTTTACCATGGTCACGTGTTGGTCACGCTCCACGTCCAATTTTTATGCTCTGATTGGTTAAAATTTGACAGGTGAGTTCATGAGTAAAATTTATGCAGCATCTTGAAAGTTGTTTACTTTGACAGCTGAAGCTGACAGAGTTTTGAGTCAACTTGTGATGTTTTTAACTGTCTTTTTCCACTGGATGTAAAAACGAAATACAGCTGCTATCAATAGTGTTCTCTTATTCATGGCTGGTTTGTTTATTGGGTTTTTGGTTGAGAAATGCGTCGCTTGTCAAAGCCGATAATCAGATTTCGGGCATCGTTTTTGGTTTTCACCTTGCTGGATGCGTACGAGAATTATAAAGGATTAAGCGATCCTTGCCTTACTTGATAGCTTTCAGGAGCTGCATCTCGAAATATGGTAAGCCCGAGTAATTATTGTATTTATATCTAATTTCATGAAGTCCAGTGGCGCAGTTTATGAAGCTAGTTTATGCACGTTTGTATTATTAAGATTTGACTTAGACACGGTTCTGACCTAGTATGAGGTTTGATATAATAAGCTTAAGCTTACAGAACTTTAAAAAGCCTTTAGTCGATATTAATTCACCGTAAATAGAAAGAAAAAACTTTCCGAAGAATATTTAGTTGTAATTTTGGCTGTAGAAAGAAAGCTTTGAACGATTTTCTTGTCGTGAGTTCATCTTTGAAAACGGCAAACACCGGGAAACCGGCGGCTTAAAACATCAACTTAACCTTTAAGCTTACCAGTAAAGACTTGAGGATTCTTAGAGACACTTAAATATTCATTTGTTTTCGTGAATGAAAATTGTTGTCTCTGTAAATGTTCAACCGAATTATATTTCTTTATTGGTTGTTGGTATTCTCAAAAGTGTAATTTTCATCGCTTTGCCGTTTGTTTTTAGGCGTTCATAAACATCGCTTGCAGGAGTACTCAAAATGCCGAGCGTATCAAACGCTTTTTAAGATTACACATTGTTATAAAACCATTAATAAAAAATAGACTCAATGAATTCTTTATCACGTTGAAGCGTAACTCTTTTAAAATTTCTTCGCAAATTTGGCGCTTGTCAAAAGTTAGAACCGGCTGGCCGTGTGGGTGATTTTGGACATTTTTTGAACGGTTTTGCTATAATTAAAAGTCCACGCGTGCTTCGGTGGTCCTGAGTATTGAATGAATGCAATTTGTCTTGAAAAATTGTGAAATACTGCATTTTGTACGAGGTCTGTATGATAAAAACAGCGCCTCATAGTACTCTTTCTCCTCAGATGTGGTGTATAAAAAAAAATAAAAGAATGGTTTGCACGCACCCAGATTTATTGGCAAGAATTTGTAAACTTGTCGAACGCAAAAAAATTCGGCCTAATTTGTTTTCCACGCCTTATCTGCGGTGATCAAGAGCCATTATTGCTCTTAAATGTGACCGAACACTATTTTTGGGGCTGTACATATAAGGCTATATCAACTCGATACAAGATTTGTCTCACTCCAAAATCACTTAGCTTTTCCCTCAAAAGTCAAATGAATGTGCCCTTAAGTTAACTGATTTGTGGAATACAAAATTATTGTTTGATTTAAGTTATAAATTTATCAATGGGAGCTTCGCTTTTAGCTGTGGCTAAATCTATATATTGGATACAGGCAAAGCACCCCACTAAACATGTCTCTCCAAAGTCTTTCGATCCTTTGGTTATGGGTACTACTTCCATCTATAACACTCCCTCGTCCAGACGATATCAGAGGTCAGAATGGTAGACTGGCGGTAATTGTGTCAACACTTCCAATTTCAAAACTCCCAAAAGTGGATAATTTGACCCTAAAGGCTCGTTTTTCATACTTCTTGCCG